AACAAATTATGAAGTTGTGCACTGTTTATTTTAGAACCAAATTCAGATAAAAGATTTTCTTTTAATTTGTCCCATGATATTATACCCTTCAAAGACCTAATAAATACTTTAGCAGAACCAGTAAGCAATTTTTTAGCAAACACAATTTTCTGTAATTCCGATAACTTAAATAATTTAAAAGATTCTTCTAAATCACCAATGAAGGATTCAACTGGATATGTATCAGTGCCATTAAATTCAGAAACAGTTTCTAAAAATATCACGAAAATGTAAGGAAATATTGCTAGGCATTATAATGTTTTCATTCATTGAGTTATTTATCGGAGGTGATTCTGACCGAACAGAATTAATATCATCATTTTTATCAGAATCATAAACACTTTCGTTTTCAGATAACTCATCATCGTCATCACTTTCGGATTTTAAAAGCTTAAAATCACAAAGACTATTCAATATTAAATCACAGTTTTATCAGGATTTGAATCATAATTAAGATGTAACAAATTACACACAGAAATAAAATCATTTGCAGTAAGAGTTTTAAGTAATTTTTGTGTTGTTTCTTCAATATTAAAATCAGATGGAAAACCACAAAAGTTACGCAATTTAGCTCTATTTTTTCGATCACCCAAAGTTCCAAACACAATTTGATGTAAAAGTTTAATTGACTTAGTAGGCCCAGTCTTTAAAGAATTTGAAATTCTAGGAATAGAATTTAAGGTAGTCATCTTAATTCACAGTATCATAGAATACTATTCTTAGAAGTAACAATGTGGAAATAATCGAAACAAAACTTACTTCTCTTATTTTGTAATATTCATAATGCTTCTTCCTAGGCTCATCGCGGCCCAAGCGCCCAAATCTGTAGAATCGGTACTTACTGTCTAGGAATATGATGTTCGTAAACTTACTTCCGATGTGGCTGTCTAGGGGCTAATAAACTAGTCCGATTTACAAATAACTTGAATATTTAATGAAACATGAATAGTTGCAACAAACTACAAAGTAATTACATACGTAGAAGGAAATAGGTGAGATTATTTACAGATGAAGAGAAGGAATCATCTTTACATTCAAACATCTTTTAATCGCGATTTTTATTTTTTTTTTATTTTTATTTTTTATTTTTTATTTTTTATTTTTTTTTTATTTATTTATTTATTATTTTTTAATTTTTTTAATTTTTTTTATTTTTTTTTTTGTTTGTTTAGTTTTATTTTTCAGATCCCTAGATGTAGATGGTGGTACTACGAGAATGCGAGGCCGCATTCCATCAGGATGGACGAGCAGTTGTGGGATGGCATCGTTCATTATAATCAGATGACGCGACAAGCTGTGAAAATAAATCTTTTACTTTTCCGATGAGAGAATTCAGACGATTCCGCCATTAAGACGATGACGCGATTAAAAGATGTTTGAATGTAAAGATGATTCCTTCTCTTCATCTGTAAATAATCTCACCTATTTCCTTCTACGTATGTAATTACTTTGTAGTTTGTTGCAACTATTCATGTTTCATTAAATATTCAAGTTATTTGTAAATCGGACTAGTTTATTAGCCCCTAGACAGCCACATCGGAAGTAAGTTTACGAACATCATATTCCTAGACAGTAAGTACCGATTCTACATATATATGGTTAGAAAATAGAGGAATTAAAGCTTATAACTTAAGAGCTGTTTATTAAGTTATAAGCTTTAATTCCTCTATTTTCTAACCATATATATGAACTTTATTTAATCTTAGAGGTAATTTTTAACTTGTTTCGTACATTTCAAACCTTCATAATTTCTAAAGTACTCTAATTTTAACACAATTCCTATATTTTCATACCATATACCTAACTTTTATTTAATTTTAGAGGTAAATTTTAACTTCTTTTCTATTTTTTTAACGTTTTTAGCTTCCAACATTCTCTGAATTTTAACTAATTTTCTATATTTTCGCAATATGTACATAACTTTCATTTAATTTTTAGCTACTTTAATACGTTTTAACCTTCTCAATTTTTAACATACTCCTAATTTTAACTTAATTCCTATATTTTCCGATCATATACAGGGTGTTTATTTAATTTTAGATGCTATTTTTAACTTGTTTCGTACTTAAAGTACTCTAATTTTGAACTTATCTATAACATTTTCCTACCGTATACATGCACTTTAATTTAATTTTAGATTTAGATGTAATTTTATACTTTTCTGACACTTTTTCTTTCTAATTCCCAACATACTCTACATTTTAACTCTCTTTTTTTTTTTTCTTTTTTTTAATAATTTTCGACTGTAATCACGATTTAGATTTTACTATTTCAGCTAAATGTACATGTTTAAATGTCTTAAACATACATAGAACCGAGATATTTTCAATTAAGCATTTTAATTTATTATCAGTTGAACTACTATTCGTATCCATCTATTCGTGGAATAACCCTTACTTACTCTATATTTTATAGTACTATTTTAAACTTGACAATTCTTCAATTTATCATTCTGTAGTATGCTTACCATAACTGATTCTACTATTTTACTTCATTAAATTTCATTGGCATTTTTAACCTTTATTATTTCCTGCATATTCAGATATTTTGTTATAATTTTTAACACCCTTCATATCTGAATGCATGTTTTTAAACACTTTGATGTTACCACTCTTTAGTTTTGAGTCCCAATTATTTTTAAAGCTAGCTTGATAAGATTACCGAATTTTTGGCAATGGAAGTGCCAAATTTCATCGTGTAATTTCAGGACATATTCACTATTTCATGTCCTCATCCGAAAAGTCTTTCCGAAAATATTTTTAACATTAATACCTTTTAGTTCAATATAAGTTTGACCAATTGCATACACTCATGCCGTTATGTTTTAAATTTTAGGTGCCCTGAATATACTAATTTTTTCTTACTACCCTTTTGTCTTACGCTAGATAATTAATAATATTTATTCTTTCATAGGAAACGCTCTGAAAGAAAAACGACATTATTTGTACATTACATGTCTAATGAAATACCTAAACACTAACGCTTTTAGAATTAGCCTTTTACTGTGGAAAACCTACTAAATACTATTAAATTCACAAGTATATCACATAAAAATAATTCAAAGTTTCATGAATGATATTTTTAGTAATGCTTCAGACTGCATAAAAGTCAGCATTCACTATCTTAATACATGTATCATCAGTTATTTACATTCATCAATGTAATATCATCATTCGATACATGCATATATTTTTGTTGACTTTTTTTATTTTCAAGTTAGTATTCTTACTGCCCTGCAAAACTACCATTACTAGTTACTAGTAGCAAAACTACCATTATTACCATAAACTATCGTTACTAGGATATATGCATATCCTAGTAACGATAGTGAACACACGCACCTTTCGGAAAAGTAGTAAAAATGTGTCAAATCATGTGATAAATCTGGTTGGTTAACATGTTTTCAAGTTGGACTGAAGTAATATAATTTTATATGAGAATATCTTAAAATGTTTTATGGGAACTGAGATTTTGAAAATATTTTTATATTTTTGAAGCTGCTTCGTAGCATGTAAAGTCTTCAAACTTTATGACATGTCGATATTATTCGCAAATTTTTATGAAAGATGAAAAATATTTGATTTTTTTCTTGAAAGTTTTAATGTCATTCAGTAAACGTCTGCAGTTAAACTCTCATGGCACTCCCTAATCAATGCGAAATCGTATATATTTTTTGAAAAAGAATTGAGATATATTCTAAGAATAGATGAAACAGTGAAATGTTTGCTATGAAATGATAAAAATCTTGCATAAAGTTCAGTATATTTTCGCTCTCATTATTAAATATCTCTTCCAAAATTCTGAAATAGTAATGTTTCTACTCTTACTATTTTATAAATTAGGGAACTGGGTAAATGTGGTAAATTTAGGAAAACGTTAAAATACCTTTCCTCATTGGTTAAAACAATCTGTTGTTGATAAACCTGCTAACAGGAATTGGGTTAAAGTTTTGAAGACTATATGCGGTAATGTGATTTTGTATAAATATTTTTGAGTGCTTTTCTGTTTTGAAACAGTGTTTAAAGCTATAAAACGCGTTAAATTTCCGTTTGAGAACTTAGCGATTAATAACATGCATATGTTTAATTCTAAATGAAAGACCATTCCTTGCTTAATTATGTGTTTATTATCTTAGTAAGTGTCGTTAGCTTGTTTAATCTTAATTGAGTAATTTTGCTAAGGTGATTGACGTCATCCAGAAAACAGGATGTTATCCAAATAGATTTGATAAGCTAATTACAGAAGGATGAAATCACATGATAATGAATGTTCTAGAATGTTCCATATGTATTAGTAAATGGAAAGCATTTGATTTGTTAAACAATATTGATTTTTGATCCATATTATCTGATTGGTGATTTAAGGGATTTCAAGATCCGTAGTTATAGCATATATAAATTCATATCTTCCGAAATTAATATTACAGTGCCTTGTAAACTAATTTTACGATTGTGCGTTGTTTTCTTGCTTCCATTTTTATGTTTAAAATGGATAATACTTCAGTTTCTTCAATCTCCAATGATACTACTGCTGATGCATTTATACCTAAAAAGGTAGGTTTTACTATGTTTTATGAAATATAATTTTAACGTGTTTAAGGTTTATTACACGCATAATGTTTATGTTATTGGGACATGATGTTCTAAATGAAACTAAATCTGTGAAAAAAATGGGTTGAGATGAAAATATTATGGTGTTAATGTTTAAGATTTACGATGAATTCAGCCATTACAGCCTAAAAATGAGTACATATTATTAGTATTCTAATAAATTCCATTTTTGATATGCGAGTGTTTGTGCATAAGATAAGTTTATGTATATGTATTAAGCTGTTCTAATACTTACGAGTTTTCTCTTTGGTATGTCCCACCTGTGGTAAAATATTCTCTTTAAAAAGGAACTTAACTCGACATCTAAATATTCATTCCGGAGAGAAATTTTTTCATTGTGTAGAATGTGAAATGTTTTTTGCTCGACAAAGTGATTTAAATAGGCATATGGGAATACATACTGAAAAAACACCTCTTCAATGTGGTATGTGTTTCAAGCGATTCACTCGCATTGATAATCTAAGAGTTCATGAAGCGATTCATCTTCGAAATTTTACTTGTGTGATATGTTTACAAGTTTTCCAGAAAACAAGTGATTTGAATAGACATCCGAAATCTCATGAAAGGAGCTACAAATGTAGTAAATGCCCTAAGAAATTTAGTGAACTTGATCATTTGGAACATCATGAAGCTTCCCATCTTAAAAGATGTACTAAATGTTAGGAAGATTTTACAAATCAGAGGGATTTAAGAAGACATATGAAATTTCATATAGATACTTTTAAGTGTAAATCCTGCTCAAAGGTATTTGATGAACTAGATAATTTAAAACAGCATGAAGTTTCCCATCTTAAAATTTGCATTGAATGTTCGGAAGGTTTTATGAACCAAAGGGATTTAAGAAGACACATGAAAATACACGAAGTTGTTTTTAAATGGAAACTATAGTTGCTCAAAAAACTATAGTTGCTCAAAGAGTTTCACTAGTAATGATGCTTTGGAACAGCATGAAGCTTCTCATGTTAGAAATTGCACCCAATGTTCACAAGCTTTTAAAAGAAAAAGCGATCTTTTACATCATATTCAAGTGGATAGAAAAACGAAGAAATGCTGACCCTGTCAGTGTATGTTCGGGTGGTAAAATCACAAGTCTCAAGGATATGTTCGCTACTGAGTCGATTTTCTCTAATACAGAGAATGATCAAGACCTAGATGTGTTTCTTGAGTACATAAAATCACAACTTGTAGACAGATTTAGTGATAATGTAGCAACGTATCGGTGTCTGAAATGGTATGCAGTTGTTACTGTTAAAATAAAAAAGAGCTATGATGAGTTTATTAAAAATGGCTCTGGGTGGTAAATGTGAACTAAATATGGTCACATATAGATCCTTTTCTTAAAATAGTTAATTATTCACGTAAAGTAAGAATACTAAATTGAAAATAAAAGAAGTCAAAAAAATATATGCATGTATCGAACGATGATATTACATTGATTAATGTAAATAAGTGATGATACATGTATTAAGATAGTGAATGCTGACTTTTATGCAGTCTGAAGCATTACTAAAAATATCACTCATGAAATTTTAAATCATTTTTATGTGATATACTTGTGAATTTAATAGTATTTAGTAGATTTTCCACAGTAAAAGGCTAATTCTAAAAGCATTAGTATTTAGTTATTTCATTAGATATATAATGTAAATAAGGGCTTTTCTTTTTCAGAGAGTTTCCTATGAAGGTAGAAATATTCTTAATTATCTAGCGAAGGAAAAAGTAGTAAGAAAAAATTAGTATATTCAGGACACCTAAAATTTAAAACATAACGGCATGAGTGTATGCAATTGGCAAACTGTATTGAACTAAAAGGTATTATATGTTAAAAATACTGGGAAAGATTTTCGGATGAGGACATGAAATAGTAAATGTGTCCTAAAATTATACATGAAATTTTGCACTTCATTCCAAAATTCGGAATCTATTAAGCTAGCTTAAAAATAATTGGGGCTCAACCCTAAACAATGGTAACATCAAAGAGTTTAAAAACATGCTTTTAAATGTAAAGTCTATTAAAAGTATATGAAAATATCTGAATATGCAGAAAATAACAAAGTTTAGATATGCCCATGAAATTAATAATGAAGTAAAATAGTAGAATCAGTTATGGTAAGACTGCTATAAAAAGATAAATTGTAGAACTGGGAATTTAAAATTGTACTATAAAATATAGACTAGGCAAGGGTTATTCAACAAACTGGATGTGAATAGTAGTTAACTGTTGTAAAATAAAATGCTTAATTGTAAACTATCTCTATGTTTAAGACATTTAAACATGTACATTTAGCTGAAATAGTAAAATCTAAATCGTGATTACAGTCGAAAATTATTAAAAAAAAGAAAAAAAAAAGAGAGTTAAAATGTAGAGTATGTTGGGAATTAGAAAGAAAAAGTGTCAGAAAAGTATAAAAATTACATCTAAAATTAATTAAAGTGCATGTATACGGTAGGAAAATGTTATAGATAAGTTCAAAATTAGAGTACTTTAAGTACGAAACAAGTTAAAAATAGCATCTAAAATTAAATAAACACCCTGTATATGATCAGAAAATATAGGAATTAAGTTAAAATTAGGAGTATGTTAAAAATTGCGAAGATTAAAACGTATTAAAGTAGTTAAAAATTAAATGAAAGTTATGCACATATTCCGAAAATATAGAAAATTAGTTAAAATTCAGAGTATGTTGGAAACTAGAAACGTTAAAAAAAATAGAAAAGAAGTTAAAATTTACCTAAAAAATTAAATAAAAGTTAGGTATATGGTAGGAAATTATAGGAATTGTGGTAAAATTAGAGTACTTTAGAAATTATGAAGGTTTGAAATGTACGAAACAAGTTAAAAATTACCTCTAAGATTAAATAAAGCTCATATATATGGTCAGAAAATATAGGAATTAAGCTAAACTTAAGAGCCTGTTTGAAATTATGAACGCTAAAACGTATGAAATTAGTTAAAATTCAGAGTATATTGGTAACTAAAAACGTTAAAAAGTTGAAAAGGAGTTAAAATTTACTTCCAAAATTGTATTATCTGAAATATTATCTGAAAATATAGGAATTATGCTAAAATTAAGACTATAATAGAAATTATGATGGCTAAAATGTATGAAAGAAATCAAGTAAAAGTCATGTATATAGTGTAAAAATATAGTTAAATTAGTTAAAAATTATAAAGTATATTAAATATTATGAAGGTTAAAATGTATAAAATAAGCTAAATTTTACATCTAAAATTAAGTAAAGGTCATCTATATGATCAGAAAATACATGAAAGAAGTTAAAATATAAAATATGTAGAAGATCACTAACGTTAAAAAGAACGAAAATAGTTTAAAATTAACTTTGAATAATATAATGCACAAAAACGCGTGATTTAGGAATTACAGTCGTAAAATATAAGAAATAAGTTAAAAGTATTGGCTAACAATTATGAAAAGACTCTGGGTAAAATGAATTTAATAATGAAAATGAGTCATGTAATTAAGATTACGGAAAGTAAAACTGGTATTATGAACAGAAGATTTAAGAAATGAAGTAAAATTTTGAGTCTATAGGAAATACTGAATCTTAAAATATACAGAAAATTCAAAATTTACATCTAAAGTTAAGGTCTTCTGTATCAGTCATTAAATTCGAAAATAAGCGCCGTTAAGGAAATAAGCATTGTATACGTCCTAAAATAGCTGGAACACGAAGAAGAAATACAAAGGCTAAACATCGATTAATAAAAACTTTGGGAAAATCAAACAAAGCTAAACTCTTATCAAAGTGTGACGTCATCTTATCAGTTAAATCATGAATCCCGAAAGCCTCCTTCTTACCTGCTGCGCCTCCGCGTGTGGCCTTGCTCCGCGCTCCGCCTACGCGCACTGCCCGCAAGCATGCACCGCGCACCGCCTCCTGCCCGTGAACTGTCACTTTGATACTACTGGCCTTTAAAAGGGCGAGTATATTAGGCATTTTCTCCCTCCTTCCAGAATACCTTCGTGGAGTAAAGGTAGCACACTCGGTGAATATTCGAGAGGTCCAGGTTAGAGGGCCGATGGGAGCATTGCTCATTTTTCATTACTCCTGCTTCAAAATAACCTTATGACTCTACAGTTTCGCCCGAACTAAAAGATGGTGGACGATAACTCTTCACCACTAGGATTTGGCAATTAGGATCTCTAATCCCCAGGCTCCCTTTAAAATGGGAGAGTATATAAGGGATTTGCTCTCTCCTTTTCTCATGCCCTCGTGTTGTAACTGGAAGCACACTCGATACGTATTCGAGAAGTCCATGGTTCGAGTCTTGGCGAGGGTAGGGCACGTTTTTCACGATTCCAGCATAAAATAAATAAATAAATAAATAAATAAAAAACCCTAATGGCTCTGCAAAGTCTTTAACTGTCTAAGAATTTTAAAGAATGAATAGACTTTGCCTTATAAAGAACTTTCATTTATGGTTAAACGGTCTTACTAGCTTATTCACAAAGAGCAGATTAAAGGTGCATTTGGTCTTTTTAAAAATTGATACAATTGTTTCTTGCAGGAATGTAGCATGAATTATGATCATTCTTACTGAAGAATGTAATAAAAGGCTTGTTTACAAAATCGAGTACCTACTTGGTATTCTCAATGAGAAAAAGTTCAGCGATTTCTTAACTTTCTTCCCTCTAGTGGTTTATCTGCTTTTGTTTCCCTCCGAGCGTTACGGGTTTATCCCTGAAATTTCAAAGTTCCTCAAAGTGTCATGAATAAGCTGTATTTTCTTGATTTTAATTAAAAAATGACTCTCTTTTTGTACCTTGATTCCCTTCTTCCAATATACATCCAAACCGAAATCAGATGCATTAAAATCTAGCAGAAATTTTCATGTATAATGAATATAGAAGGCAGCCTTCTATGCGGAATTTTCCGGCCGTAACGCTGAGAGGATTTTAACACTGAGTAGCGAATGAAAAATGTGTAGCTCATGAAGTAATGTAGTGAAACAAGATGCATTTATATTGTCAAGCTTTTCTTGAAAGAACGTTCGAAACTGCATCGCTCATTTGATTCAGAAGCTATCCGAGATAAGTTCAAATTTAAATGAAAACGCTGAACACAGCTTGTGTTACTTCATAAACATTTATATTATAGTTCGACTTGCTAACAGCCGTCAACTGAATATCACCCTTTGCTCAACACCGATTTATTTTCGAATTAACATGCTTTACTAATCGACATCTGTTTAAACAGGGTGAATTTCACTGAACACGATTCAAGTTGCGTCAAATAGTGCTTCTCTTTTACTTAAAGAGCTATTTCTTATCACCCAAGTGATCTTATAGGATTAGCCAGCAAATAAGCACACTGAATTAGCTTCAATAAAATGCACGTAGAAAATCTGCAGGAATTACTGTTCTCACATTCCAAAGATCTTATCGGCTATAACCGTGACCTCGTTTCTCGACGATCGCGGTGTAGTTGACATCGACCGGTAACAACCATATGAACATGACAATGACTTCACCGAGTGTAAGAAAGAGCACGTAAAGTTCGAAGTGAATTTTCAGGTTTCACAAAATGTTCAGGCTGCTGTAAAGTAGAAGCAACATGTTTGAGACTTCAATTCAAACCAAAAGAAGCTTGTACTTTCGGCGGTATTGTCCCAAATGAGGCTTTTGCCAAAATTTCCGTGA